ATTTTTGCCTCCTTTGTCATAGATTAGGTGCGTGCTTTTATCTCTGGGCTTTCTATGCTGTTCCATTGATCTATATTTCTGTTTTTGTGCCAGTACCATATTGTCTTGATTACTGTAGCTTTGTAGTATTGTCTGAAGTCAGGGAGCCTGATTCCTCCACCTCCATGTTTCTTTCGCAAGATTGCTTTGCTGTTTGGAGTCTTTTGTGTCTCCATACAAATTTTAAGATTTTTGGTTCCAGTTCTGTGAAGAATGCCATTGGTAATTTGATAGGGTTTGCATTGAGTCTGTAGTTTGCTTTGGGTAGTAGAGTCATTTTCACAATGTTGATTCTTCCAATCTAAGAACATGGTATATCTCTCCATGTGTTTGTGTCATCTTTGATTTCTTTCACCAGTATCTTATAGTTTTCTGCATACAGTTGTTTTGCCTCCTTAGGTAGGTTTATTCCTAGGTATTTTATTCTTTTTGTTGAATTGTGTAAATATTATATGTTACGTCTGAGTCGGAGAAACATGAAAGAATGAAATCTTCTTAGTTTATTATTGTAAATAGAAAGAAGGTAAGGGTCACTTTTTGAGATACTTTTATTCTTATTAACTCTGTGTATCCTCTTTTCCTATACCTCATCCCCACTCACAAACTAAGAAAATTAGAAAAATAGGGAAGTTCTGCTCTCCAGTTATGGTTATATTGTCAACAATATTATTGGGAAAAAGTAAAGGAAAGTCAACGAATATTAGATGTTCTGCAACAGTCACCTCAAAGAGCATTGCAGTTACAATCCACTAGACTTATGTGTTCCAGAAAGGATTACACATCACAACTACTCAGATAACATATCATAATGCAAATACATGACTACCAGTAGAACCTCTAGGAGTGAAGTTAGTTATCTGTGTTAAATCTCTACTTTGAATTCTGTTGCAAGGGAGATTTTGGAAACAATATGGTAAGTAGATTGGGAGCTCTTTGAGGATAGAACCTGCCATATATATTATCTAGTCTCCAAAGAAGTTCCTGGCCCATTGTTGAACGTTGATAATTAAGTGTTGAAGAATAAGTCTGTGAATTGAATGTGCAAAAGTCCTGATGTGACTTAAAATCATTAGAAGATGTTATATCAGGACAAATTGGTCAATATAAATAAGTCAGAAGAAATATCATAGGGGATAAGTGTATTCAAGAAGGATGGTGCTATCCAAAATTATTTACTGAGTTCTCATTGAATATTGAATAACATATAATCAGTTCCAAAACCCTTGATAGATTTTATTTTAATCTTATTTTACTTAATAAAAAATAAGGCAAACTGATTAGCTTCAGAAATGAAAAAATAGTGCACATGAACATCATTTAACTTAAATTTATATATTTAGACAGAGAACTTCATTTCCATAACTGCCGAATGACAGAAAAGGGTGAAAGTGTTGCTAATTGCAGTTGCTATTAGAAAGAAAGAAAAAAAGAAAGCAAAAAAAGGAAGAAAAGAAAGAAGGAAAACAAGGAAGAAAGAAGGAAGGGAGAGAGGGAGGGAGAGAAGGAAGGGAGGGAGGGAAGAAAGAAAGAAAAGATAAAAATGGTATGCTTTCAGCAATTAATGCAGGCTACAAACATCTTTGATAGTGTTACAGTTTCAGACAGCTGGAGTCACAAAACCAGCAAGCTGTTCAGTATCCTCTATATGTTCGGAGGTGTGTGAGTACATGCATGCATAATTTAAGTAAATCACAGGGCTTGAAGTAATCAGTGGGAAAGCAGCATGCCATTGAGAAATCCTTGGCTGGGATTCTTCTAAGAAAACAGTGGTGGATACACACATAAACATGCTGATATTTCAAATTCAGTTTCCACCCTGTATGTAATGAATTAATGTGTGCATTGTATGTAACTAAACTCTAAATATTGCAGTCCTCTAACAGTCAAGACATGGAATTCTTGTACTAGAAGATAGACTGCTTCACTAAGCTTTGCTTCTGTTCTTGGTATAGCCCTTTATTTTCTCAAATCTGTCTTCGGCTGTCATGAGTCTCTTTTTTTATACTAACTTTTATATAGGGCCCTAGGAAGGGTCGATGCCCAGAGGAAATAAATTTATTATCTTCTCTGCTTCAACCAACATTTTATATTGGTAAAATGGACAAAATGGGCATCATATATAGCTCTGACAGGTTGCCTTCCAGACCTATTCTTAATGTGTCCAACTGTCAACAAGTACCAGTCTATTTTAGATGTGTGAGCTCTTTTTTTTTCTCTCTATATTGGGACTACTGCTTTTTACAAACATGAGGATAGGCAATCTCCATTGAGCTTTCCCCGATGTACAGCTCTGTCTTTTCTTTGCCATGTAAAAATTTAAGTTTGTTAAATATCACTTGCTTGCTATGGTGAAAAGGCTATTGAACAATGAGTTAGAGACCTGCTTCTTTTTTTTTTTTTTGAAGCGGGGTGTGTGTGTGTGTTCTTAACAACTGTAAACCATTGAAGGTTGGAGGCACTATAAGAGGGATGCATGTCTATGACTTGCAGGCTACTACTCTCCCAGTCTCTTCCTATGAGAAATCTAACACGATGATTTTGCTACTCTTTTTGAGTCTCCGAATCCTTCTCCAAACAGTGTTCTAGGATGCGAACATACTGACAGTCATGGTTGGCATTGCAGTTAAAGCTGATTTTCCATTCTGGACTACATGATCTCTAAATTACCTTTCAGATCTAATATTATATGGTTTTCTGATTGCAAATTTGATGATTCTTACTTTGATTTTATAGGGAAAATTCAGTTATTCTTGCTAGTATGTGTAGCAGGATGGATAATACCAAATAGCAAATAATCTTAAAATAACACATTTTGCTTATATAATTGTTTTTAGTATTTGCTTAATTTGTGTTCTCAGTAACAGAGGTTAATAGAACTAACATAGTTGATAGGAGTAAATCACAAATTATATACTAAAGCAAATTTGTCTGTTAAAGAATGATTAATATATGACTCTTCAGAGTTTATCTTTCTAAATCTGAAGATTAAAATAATTTTCATGTATTGTTATATGTGACAGAATATAATACTGAAACTGATTTTTTCATATCAAACCTCTATTTATAACTTTATAACTTTTGTGGTAAATTTATATAAAATATTACCTTCATTTGATCACTTTAAATTATTGTGATCTAAAGATTGAGTTCAGCTGTGTGTACCTTAAGGCACTTATTTTGATATTAAATGCTAAATGAGCCAAGTTTTTAAGCAAAATCTATTTGAAAAGGTGAATTTCTACTTGCTTATATAAACAAGCAATAGTCTTGTTTACCTCTGTAGTGAAACAAACTTTTGACCAGCGTTTTTGCATAAATTCATTGAAAGTATAACTATAAATCTGTATTGCTTCCTATAAATGTTGAATTCATGAATATGAATAGGTTCTGTGTGATTTTTACTGAAACTTCACCTGCAATCTGTTATGGTCTAAGAAGCATTGATCCCTGATGCTATCTTTCACAATTATTTGAAATCATATTACCTCACTCATGCTTGAAAATTATGTCCCTAGTAATTATTAATTTATTTTGTATGTGTTGGTTGGCTTAACATTAATCATAATAAATTTATTTGATATTTATATGTGTGTCACTAGTATAGTACTTCTAAACTTTCATTTTGTCAGCTTTCATTAACTGGCCAATTTATCACATGGAGGTACTTATCGTCTAAATTTTCTTTCAAATTTTTCAAGAATTATGTGCAATCTATAATAAAGTTTGAATACTGAGAATGTTATATCTAGAATGCATCAAATCGAGAATTAATACTGGAACAATTATGTTGTCTTATCTTCTCAAATGGAATTAATTTTGCCTTGACTCTTTCTAAATTTACTTTTGATTTCATTTCTAAACTCTTGACTTCAAAGATTGGCATTCTGAGATATCACTTCTGAACTCTATTTTTCTATATATGTGACGTCTTTATGTTTACTTATAATTTATATTTTTTTAGTTTTAAATAGGTTTTGAAGTAAGAGTATATGCATACACAGAATAGTTAAAATGAAATTAAAACAGAGATCATAAACCGTATAGTAGAAATTAGAAATTCTTCAGTTGGAAACCAGAATGAGATAGTTTCTGAAATGTACACCATGAGTTTTCCCTTTTGATTTCACCATGTTTTCTTTTTTCGTTTTTTTTTTAAGATTTTTTTTTCTGATGTGGACCATTTTAAAGTCTTTACTGAATTTGTTACAATATTGCTTCTGTTTTATGTTTTGATTTTTGGCTTCGAGGCATGTGGGATCGTAACTCCCTGACCAGGGATTGAACCCACACCCCCTGCACTGGAAGGCGAAGTCTTAGCCACTGGACTGCCAGAGAAATCCCATGAGTTTTCTGATAAACAAGGAAAAGAACAAAAACATTTTCATTTCTCCAGTTTAGTAGGAGAGACAAGTGTCATCAAAGTTTTAGATACCAGAATGGCTCTGTTTTCTGTGGCTAGAAATTCCTTCCTCAGACTCTTCATCTCCCCCTTCATTTATTTACCAGTTTGCATATTGTCTCTTTTCTTAAAACCTTGTATTATATACTCAGTAAAGAATTACCTTTTCCCTGAATGATACACTGAAAATTATAAAAGTATAGCTATCACTCTAATTGGATGCCTATCACTCGAGAGACAAGTAACAGACACTGAATTATCTCTCATGCACACAATAATCCTGAAAGATTCATGCTATTTTACCCTCTTTACAGGTGATGAAACTGAGACCAAAAAAAGCTGAGAAATTTGCACGAGGTCAAATAGCTAATTAGGATAGAATTCTTGATCTGTATTCCAACAGCACTTGTAATGGGAGGATATCCTCATGTAGAATATTCCTTTAAAAAAAAAAATGTTTCCATAGTTGCAGAATAGCTGTGTAAGCTTTATTCACTGTTCCTCAAAAAGAGAAAATATATGAAACCTATTGACATTTGAATATTACTGTGCTTTCTTGCAGCCTGTGAACTCATGAATCAAGGCATCTTGGCCCTGGTCAGCTCCATTGGCTGCACATCAGCTGGGTCCCTCCAGTCTCTGGCAGATGCCATGCACATCCCCCACCTCTTCATTCAGCGCTCAACAGCTGGGACCCCAAGGAGTGGCTGTGGAGTCACCCGGAGCAACAGGAATGATGACTACACTCTCTCTGTTAGGCCACCTGTCTACTTAAATGACGTTATCCTGAGAGTGGTCACAGAATATGCCTGGCAGAAGCTAATTATATTCTATGATAGTGAATATGGTGAGTGTTTGTTGCTGGTATGAGTTTTGTAAGCTGGTATTTGCATGGCAGGTAACTTCGGTTAAAATCTTGAAAAATCGAAGGAGCTTACTTATTATTATTTGTGGTTTTCATGTCCTGTCACATTCTTCTTACAAATCTAGCGGCAACAACAGAAAACTTTGTTAACACCTCAAGTTCAATCTTTTGTACATATCTCGGTCTTTCAAATAATGGGAAGTCATAAAAACAATACTGTCTTTCTCCTCTTTCAGAAAGATTTATATCTCTATCTAATAAGAAAAAATCATTTTGGACAGATCCTGGAACACTTAAAAAATTACCCATTTCTATTTTTTGGTTCAAAAAAAAATCTGAAGTATCTTGCCTACACCCTCATTGTAGACTTTAGTATCTACTTAGTACTTAACTGTTTGAAGGTCACTGAAATTATATCACTTTATATTTATCCTGGCATATTGTCTACAAAATGAAATCTCACACAAATACTGAGTAGTATAAAAATACTTATTTTATTTAACTTTCTAAAGTAGAACACAAAGCGTTTTACCTAAATTTGCCATACTTTGAGAAGACACTTTCTCTCAATATATTTACCTAGTTACATTAAGAAAACTAAGCAAAAATAATATTATTTTTGTATAAGTATTTTTTCCTGAATTAATCTACCTGCTTTCTAGCTGACTGATCCCAGAGATTTTCAAATATAGTTTCTCTCTTTTTTTGTCATTAGGAAGATAGGAAATGGAGTAGAGATCTATACGTTCAAATGAGAGGAAATAAACAAAATTCTGATAAAGAACATATATTTTGAAACGTGTTTCCTTAGAGATTTGCCTTAAGAAGGAGTCTTAGAGAAAAATTTCTATTCAGTATAGATGGGCCTAGTTTTTACATTTTTATTTTAAAAAGTTAAGAAGATTTACAGTGCAACTTATTTTTCTTGCAAATAAATAACTATTTAAAAATGAGTTCTCTTGTCCTAATCTACTCAGCATTTTGAACTATATTAGAGAACAGTTACACAAGAGTGGGCCAGAAAGTGGCATCAATAGAACTGAGCACAAACAGGTTGGCAGAAATCTGGGAAGCAGCAAATAAGAGCTCCTGTTGACTCCCAGGGAGGGAGAGCGAGTGACAGTTACATTAGCCCTAAATATTCAAAGGTCACATGGGGTTTTGGAGGCTGAGTTCCATTAAACTTGATGGGTAGGCTTCAGACAAAAGTCTGTGGCACTCTCTAAAAGCACAGTCCTTTGTCCCCAGGACGGAAATCCTTATTTTGTTGCTTAATTCATATTATTTAGGGGTCACAGAACAAAGACCAAGAGGCTGAAATGAATAAAATAAACAAAAAGGAAATAAAAATAATTGGCTCATCAGTAAAAGTAAAGATGGAACACAAATCTGATAGTCACTGATAGGATTATTTAGTGAATATAGTAAACTCTAGCTCTGGAATCAACATACTGAGTATGCCTTTGTCAGTTTTTTCTAGTCAGATTATCTATGGTTTTTATAACCATAATGGTATTCTTATGACTTCTGCTCAACATACTTTGAAATAATGAATTTTTAAACACTACATCTTTCTTTAAAGGGAGAAAACACGTTTTAGTTAGTCCTATCAAGATAGTCTTGTAAAATAAAGAATAGAAAAGTAACTTTTGATGATGTTTTTACATTAAAATGAGAACTTTACTCTTTGATTATAAATGTCCATGAGGAAAGAAAATTCCTTGTTAGCGTGTTTCCAAGTCCTACATGGATTACAGTTAGGAAATTCTTGTAAGAGAAGACATTTTAATTACTGATGAAGTAAAGATTTTTTAATGTACACTAAATTCATAGTCACACACTCATTTACATACATTTGAAATTCCTCATTCTCTTTTCTTTTGTTTTCCTTTGATTAAATAAGATGCTATAATCACAGTATTTGTATCCTCTGCTAGAAGCAGTGTTTGTTTTAGGAATAATGAAAAACATTTTCCTTTACTCTGATGATAAACTTGACTTTAATTTATTATTTAATTTAATAATTCATGAAAAAGTACCCTGCTTGTACTTTTTAAATTATTTCCAGTAATACTCTTGTTCAATGAAAGAAAATTTTCCTTTGATACTTACAATAAATCTTGGTAGTAAATAAAGAACTGGGCTAGAGTCCAAAATAAACATCAAGCTATTCAAATACCTTGTGCCTTGAAGAGGGCTACATGTGTTTACATATCCATTCATCAATGTCCTCATTTTAAGTTCAAACATCAGCATTATACTTGACTTTTATCTTGGTTATCAGGAATTACTTTCATTAAGGAATGGATTAAGCATCATCCATGGATGGAATCAGGCAGCCTGCTGGAGCCAAATGTTATTGAAGATGTATTTTGCTTAGAAAAATATACTTAAAGAAAAAGATTAGGCTTCTTATCCAGTTTATTAGAGAAACACTTATTTCCAAAGCAGTTAATTATGATTAAGAGCACAGTGTAAAAGTCTACTTTAAATTCCTTAACAAAGAAAATTCAAGTCTTTGATTCTAAGTAAATGGATAAAAAGAGGGGAGAAAAATGAAACTTTATTTGAGTGGATAGATTCAAGGCATTTTTTAAAAGGCTTGAAAAGAGGAAGTGTTGAACTTTTAAAAATATGTCATTCAGGAAACGTTCATAGCTCACTTGCTTAGTGCAGATACAAAACATGAGATTAAAAGTTTTACAGAATGTAGTCTTTACTTTTAAGAAGCTTACAATTAACGAAAGAGAAATATTTATATGACTCTCTTAATAGAGAAAATAGTGTGTTGTGTCATGAATGATGCAAACTGAGTGCTAGTGGTGTGCAATGAAGAAAGTGTTTAATTTAGGCAGCAGTGATCAAAGAAGTCTTCACGGGTGGACTTTGATCTTGATTATTGCCTCTCAGAATCCTACCTAACTTTAAGTGTGTGAGAGACGGCCATTCCAATAGACAGTGTGAGCAAGTCTTGCAGCAATAAAAATATTAAAAAAATAGTATCTCTGATCATTTTCATTCAGGCAGTAGAATAAATATTTTACATTGTATCATTGAATTTTCTCAACAGCTATGTGAGGTAGGTAATATTTACAGTTTTACAAATAGGTAAACAGAAACAACTGATGGGTAACTTGTTCACAAAACATAGCTAAGAAGCATCAAAACTGAGATTTAAAGTCTGATCAGAGCCTATCTATACTCCTAACCATGTATAATGAGTATAAAGAGGTTGCAGTGAGCTATCACCCAAGAATATAGCAAGAGATAATCTTACAGAGAACATGTATTGTATCCAAGCTCTGTTCTAAATGCTTTACATGTATTATCTCATTTAATCCTCACAGCAGCTCTGTAAAGTAGATGATGGTGATGATGCTGGAGATGGCCATGATTATACCACAAATGAAAAAAGCTAAAGTAGTAAGAGGTCAGGTGACTCAAAAGTAAGTCCAAGAAGCCTGAATTCAAACACTAATAGTCTCCCCCATAGTCCCTGCTCTCAACAACTGGACTCTTTTGATACAATAGAAAAAGCATAAGAGTAATTTCTGACACTGAATTTTTTTTTTTTTTTTTTTTTTTTTTTTTGCAGTACGGGGGCTTCTCACTGCTGTGGCCTCTCCCGTTGCGGAGCACAGGCTCCGGACGCACAGGCTCAGCGGCCATGGCTCACGGGCTCAGCCGCTCCGTGGCATGTGGGATCCTCCCGGACCGGGGCACGAACCCACGTCTCCTGCATCGGCAGGCAGACCCTCAACCACTGCGCCACCAGGGAAGCCCCTGAAAATTTTTTAAAAATTTACAAGTGACATGTATAGAATCATTTTTGTTAAAGAGAGATAATGTCTGACTTTAAGCCTGCAGATCTTCAGCATGTTAACATCATTCAGGGAAAAGTACTGTATGTCAATTCGGATGGTTTGGTTATCGTTAGAAACGTGGAAACAGGGCAGTCAGTGACTCAAAGTAGGCTGACCCCTCAGCAGAAATAGCCGCTTGCCTATGCAATATATGTTCTCCCTTCTAAACTGAGAGAGCAATAGTTCCAGTTGAAAAACTATATTCCCTAGTATTGCTTACAGCTGGGGGTTGTAATATGATACTGTCAAGAACTGTGAAGGGTCTGAGATTTTACCCTACTTGCAAGCTAGCGAGTTAGCCTGCCTCAATTTCATAGATGCTGGCAGAAAACACTACGCTCCTGAATTAGAGATCTTTAATACTCAGGGCGCAGCAAGCAGCGTGAGCCTTGTATTAATTAAAGTTTTCTGCTCATAAAAGACACCATTAAGAAAATAAATAGGCAAACTACAACCTGGGGAATAAATTCCAATACCTATATCTGAAAAACTTAGGTAAATACATAGGCTATATAAAGAGCTCAGAGAATTAAACAAAACTCCAGCAAAGCAACAAGACACCAATAAAAGTACACAATTGAAAGTGTGCAAAAAGTTTGTGCAGACAATTCATATAAGCAGATATATAAATGGCCAATAAACACAAGAAGAAGTGCTGAACATAGTCCACAGGTGTGTGCAAATTAAAGCTAGATACTGGGGAGTTCCCTGGTGGCCTAGTGGTTAGGATTTCAGGCTTTCGCTGCCGTGGCCTGGGTTCAATCCCTGGTCAGGAAACTGAGATCCTGCAAGCGGAGTGGTGTGGCAAAAACAAAACAAAAAAACAAAAACAAGCATCGAGGTATTAATCGGTACCCACTAGACTGGCTAAAGTCCAATACTACACGTAGACAAGAATGTAGCAAACTGAAACTCTCCTACCTTGTGGCTGGATGTAAAAATGTACAACCAGTATGGAAAGCTCTTTGGCAGTTCGTTACAAATTTACGTATGCATCTACCACGTGACTTACTCATTTCACTCCCAGGTATTTACCAAGATAAATGAGAATGTATATCCTCACAAAATCTTATGTAAGAATGCTAGTATTGGCATTATTCATTATGTCCAAAACTGGAA